TCTTGCCATTGGAACTTTAATGTACAACCAAATCATCCACGGACCTCATTAAAATGCAAATTCCCACCGAGAATCTGGGCTGGACCTGAGAGTCTTCCTTTCTAACAGGCTGCAGGTGAAGTCAGTGCTGCAGGTCCATAACCAACACTTGGAGCAGCGAGGGTTGGAACCAGGGGGATTCTGCCTCTGCTGCATGTTGGAATCACCTGCGTTACTTCACAAAATGCTGCATTACTTCATAGAATACCTTGGCCCAGTCCCCGGGTATTCTGACTTAATAGGGCCGTGGTGTAGCCTGGGACTAGATTTCCAAGTATTCCCTGGTGATTCCAATGTGCAGCTCAGGTTGAGGACCAATGGCGCTGGCACTTTGCAAAGGGTTCTGCACCCATGCAGTCGGCTCTTGCCATTTCTGTGAAGACTGACCCCCCCTCCCCCACCCTCACCAACAAAGGAGTTACATTTACCCCTTTTGGTGTAGTTGGAATCAGCCAGAAGGCTGCTGGGGACAGCTGGCTGTAATGATCAAAGCACATGCTCTAAATGAAGAGCTTCAGCTCAAAGCACACTATGTGCCGGGCACAGCTGAGTGACCTTAGAGTGCTGAGCCTCTCTCAGCTTCACTCTTCACATGTAAAGAGAATCTCCAACCACCTCTGTAGGGGTGAAAGACTGATTAGGTGCAACATATGCCAAGTACCCAGCTTGGTGAGGGACTCCATTCATGAACAGCAGCATGAGGCCTGAACCACAAGGGGGTGGGGTGAGGGGGCAGGAAAGTTGAGAAGGGCTGATAGCTGGGATCAACATTTGCCAGTATGAAATACCCAGATGGGAAGAGATCCCTACTCATAGATGCCAGGTCCTTTCATTACCTGAGATCAGTTTAATGTATTACATAGTTCTGCCCTGCCCGGAAGCCAGGAACTGAATGGCTTCATTTTAAAGACTCCAACTGTGAAAAACTAAATATTTTAGAATTTAAGGTCCTCTTTGGAACAGACTTTTTCTGTGTTTTGAGGTGAAAGAACCTCATTTTAAAAAACAAAATAAAACAACCTTCATTATATAATGTAGCGTGTGGAATAAACTCCACAGCAATGGTAAACTTGGAGATGGTGGATTTATTTGTTCATGTTAAAAAAGGCAACTTCGTAAACAATTCTTGTGAGGTTTGGCTTTGATTTACTGCTCATGAAATACAAACGACTCTCTCTCGACCAAGACAAATCCAGCACTGGGGATCTTACCGACGCTATTTGGAAGCTGATTTGTTTTTGAATGGGGGTATTAGTGCGGTGGTGTTTACTTGTCAGTGATGGCCATATCTAAAAGAGAACAGCAAGGAAAAGTGGGTCGAAGGGGACAATGAGACAGAGGATTTTAAACTGGGAGATGAGGTTCCTATACCTAGGCCCCCTCCCTTCCTCGCTATACTGTCTTTTCCTGCTCATATTTGTATTTTTTTAAAAAAATTACAAAAGTATTAAATACTGCATACATCTAAAAGTAAAAAGTGAATTCCTGAACAGTGATTCTCATATTTTACTATGTATAAGGACCACCTAGGGAACAAATTAAAAAGCACATTTCCCAGCACTCGCCCTCAGAGGGTCTGATTTACCAGATCTGGAGCGGATCTGTGAATTTTCACTTTTAGCAAGCTCCTGGGCCCATCCTAATAATTTTGAGGCTAGTGGCCACTGAATTTTGCTTCGAGCTAACTAGGCTGACCGCTGTCAGAAGCTTGGTGTGTGCCCTTTCACATTTATCTATGTACACACAAGCTTACAGAAATGTATGTGTGCTCTGTGACATGGAAAACAGGCACAAAACACAGACACACAGACCCAGTTCTATACCACATATATAGTTCTCCCTGCCTGCCCACGAAGCCATGAGCCAAGACCCCCATCTGTTTAAAAAAAACAGTAATTTATAAGACAAATTAAGAGGTTTAGAACATGTTCATAAATTGCTTTCTGCAGTACCAGACTTTGTGCTCTCTGTCTCACAAAAACTGCCCACACAGAGTCAAATAAAGCCACACCTCATTGCCAATGACATGCTAGAAGTTCTGGCTGGTCTTTATCTGCAGTTGGAAATAGATAGGGCTTTCTGCTGCCTTACAAATATCCTTTAACCTATTCCCCATGGTAATTAAAATTTTGTGGTAAGCAAATACTCTGATGTGTGTTCTTTGTGCCTTACCAGTCAGAATACTATGATTGGTTCTCTGATTGAACCAACTCCATGGCCCTAGGGACCAAGTAGAATTGTTGAGAAAGCAAAGATCTTGAAATTAAACAGGCCTCAGTTCAGCTTTCTTTTTTGCCAGCTCTATGTATATATCCGGGCAAGCCAATTAACTTCTGAACCTTAATTTTCATACCTGTTAAATGGACTTAATGTTTTACCCATAGTAATCTTTCAGCAAATTCACTCATTCAACAAATATCTGTTGAGCTCCTGTTTATTGCATCCTGGTGCATTGCTCAGCCACACCCTACTTGCCTCTGCTATAAGTGGTGTTGGACATGGCCCTGGGAGCTGGCAGTGCAACAGTAGTGAACAACATGCCTGCCTTGATGGAGCTCACATTCTTGTGGCAGTTATTATCATTATCATTATTATTTCATGTCTATCTATCACTGTAATGCTATAAACTGATTTTAACTTTGTGATGGAATTAAGCAACGTGGCCAAGTTGGATTAATAGACTAGATACCCGAGCAACTTCTTTAGACGCCAGGCTTATAGATGCTCAAGTCTTATTGGAATTGATCACAAAGAGGATTAATTCAGGTGTCCATGTCTGACTCTTTAGATAAATGGCTAAACATAAATTGGTCCTATACCCACCGAAGTGGTCTATTGCTTCTAGTGGAAAGTGAGACAACGCTCCTTGAATATGCTCATCTTCCTTAGTTGAGTGAATATTGAAGGTGCAGTCATTGGTCTCTTTAGCTGAAGTTAACTACACAGTCAACTGAGGTTCTGGAACCAAATAATGCACTGTATTGGGATGTTTCCTGGGACTGAATGATTTGTTTTATTGCATAAATCTTAGACTGTTTAGTATGTAAGCAAGAGGCATGTTTGGAAAAGTACAAAAGAAAACCCAAGCGGTAATAAGGACTCCAGAAAAATTTTTAAAAAAATGTTTTGGGGGTAATGAAAGCCAGGAAAAATAATTTTTAAATTTCGAATAAGACTGTGTTATTTTGATTCTTCGAGTCTGTGAATGACTAATTGTAATCCAGTCACATGTCATGAAAAAACTAAAAGGAAAGGCAAGTCCAAATACAGTAAGTTTATATGCTACATTATAGTCAATGTATCTAATAAATCCCTAGATGGAAAGAAAGATATATATAATTTTTACCAATAGAAAATCTGTTTTTCTCAAAATAAATGTGGAATAAATATTAAAAGGATATTGGCTTGAAGTGGTGCTAAATTTGTAACTACCCAGAAACCCTCATGTCTCGGTCCAGTCTTGCTAAACTGAGGTTCTGGATGCCCTGCCTGGAATAAGGGTCTCAGCAGTTGGGACTAAGACACTTGCTCATTTATTAATTTAAAAAAAGTAATCCATTACACACTTATTTATAAATTGAAATCAAATTTATTGAGTCCCTATTATATGGTATGTATCAGGAATGCATGAATGAGTTCACCTTACCTGTCTCTCACAGAGCTCACATGCAAGGGATGTGGGACCTGCATAACAGTGTGGTCTTGCGGGTCCAAGCTAAAATCCAGCCTGGCTGCATGGCCCAGCAAAGGCTGCAGGAAAACTGAGAGCAGAGGCAGCCCTGCCGATGCATTATTTAGCCAGACTTCCCTTGTCACTGCCATCAGTCAGATGTTATGTTCTGCCAAGGGGAGGAGCTGGCAGGGTGGCCACACTGTGGGAGGGTGGAAGGCTTTTGCTGCCTGGTTCTGTGAAGGGGGCACTGAGGTGAGAGGGGACTTTCCTCCCCTGGCAGCTCTCTTGCTTTAGACCAGGGTTTAGTAAACTTTTTCTGTAAAGGACCAGATGGTAAATACTTTTACCTTTGTGGGCCCTGAAGTCTCTGTTGTAAGCGCTCAACTCAGCCTACAGCAGGAAAGCAGTTTCAGACATAGGTCACCGAATGGCGTGCCTGTGTTCTAGTGGACCAGCATTTACAAAAGCCAACAGCGGGCCACATTAGCCTACAGGCTGTAATTTTCACACCCCTGCTATGCATCCCGGTAAGTATTACCAAGCAGCTTCACTGTCCACTCTGACAGACCTCTTTATGTGCTGATATGAATGCTGTTGGGCGTCATTAGCTTGCGAAGAAAGAAAAGCAAGATTTCCTCTGTCTATCTCCCAGATTTGTGCACATAGCAATATGTCTGGGCTTCAATTCAGCTTTTACTAGTTGTCTAACTTTGGGTAAGGTATGAACCCCTGTAAACCTTGTTCTTCCTCTGTGAAAGGAGATAAACGCCGTCCCCTCCTAGTCAGAGGGTGAAGCCTCACATCAACCATTTTCCTCCTCTCTTCCTTCATCAGCACCCCCATACCCCTGCTCTCCCTCTTCACTAAGAAATAAGTCTAGGAGTCTCTAGTTCCCAGGCCATGAGACCAAATTCTCAATTGCCCTGGAGTAGCCCTTTATTAAGCAAGAACTTTATAAACATCAAGAGAATATTTTTCCAAAGCCCGTTTAAAAAAAATTTCAGGCACAATAAAAGCACATTGTGCTTCTCAGTGTTTGTTTTTAAGAAGTGTTTTTCCACTGGAGTTTTAAATGAAGGGTTTTGTTTCTTCTTCCATTTCTCCTAGCAATTCTTGGCAACAGTCTACATACCGACATTTCACCCTTTACTCACTCTCGTGGATAAAACTTTCAAGTTCATTGCACTCAGGAGCTGGCCAAGCAATCAAATAGCTTCTGTCTCCTGTGTCTTAAAATCCTCAAGGCGGTGCAAACTGCATTTTTCCAGGACCAAGACAGAATGCCAGAGTGATGATGTCATGGCCCCAGCAGCCAGCCCCTTGGTTTCCTGTTTCTTCCCTCCTGACAGGTTCATGAATCATATCGGCTTTATCATTTGACTCCAAGCTCATTTCCCTGTTCTACAAACGTTTGGACTTATAGGAAGTGAGAGCCAAGTGTAATGAAAACATGAAGTCCCAAGTTGCTTTTTCCTTGCAAAACTGGAACACATGTTCTCCCGTCTTGAAAGGAAGCACACCATCTGGCTTAATTTGGAGTTTTCTGGCCAAGCACTCTGCTCCTTGGGTCAGACAGTGGTGAGTTCATCTGAAAAGCTGAATGCTAACTGTGCCAGAGGCGGGTGAGGTCCCAGCCAAGGTGGCAGTGGGGCCCTTGTGCGTGTCCACTCTTGACACTCACAGAACATGTGCATTATACAGAGAGCTTTCATGAAGTAACCCCAGCTGAGGGTTTAAGACGTTTACAAACACAGATGCAATCTGCAATCATGTTTAGTAATTCTCCCTGGCAACATTTCTCCCCTGTGCCTTTCTCTTTGCATCTCAGTATCCCTGACCTTGGGTAAAAGTGTCGCCAGGAAAGAGAAAGTCTAACAAAGAATTTAGATACATGAGTTTGAAACTAAAATATCAACGATCTGTAAATATGAGGAAGGTCTAAAGTGAATCAGAGGCAGGAGTTATCCAGATACTTAGCTACCTGGAAGGTAGGCTTACCAGCTCACAAACACATAATACTAAATTTGTTGAACACTTGATATGTGACAGGACCAGCCCTAAAGGTTTTACTTGCATGGCTCATTTCAGATTCACAAATCTACGAGATAAATACAATTGTTGTTGCCATTTTACAGATGAGGAAATTGAGGCACTAGAAAGTATCTTGCTAAGGTCACATGGCTAGCAAATGTCAGAGCCTGGGTTAATGGTGAGGATTCTGAATACTTGTGGGTGTATATGTGCCATGTAATACAAGTATAATATTATAAACAAGAATATTAGTTTTTAAAATGTATGTGCATATTTCAGAAATTCCGTGTATATTTTAATACAATAATATTTGGTTCAATGAGATTTGACATTTGTTCACTAGAGCCACAGTGATGTGGTGTGGAAATATACAACTTAGTACATATACAATGTAAATATGCATGTATGCAAATAATATTTCTATTTAACACTCCAGGAGCCTCTGTGTCCCAGGCTTAGATCTGAGTCTCTGGCTGGTTCCAGAATGGACCTCTGCAACGGCAGGTGTTGCATGTGAAAAGCAAACAAGATCTTTCATTCCTAGTTATAATCTCTCACACTGGTCCTCTTGGGCCATAATGTTACTTTGACCAGGTAATGCCAATTATTTTCTAAAAATATTGGTTAGGCCAGGCTTGTCTATATTTAATTGGCTGTCCTGCATCTTCTTTGGAAAATAGTTATTCTGAAAAAAATTGTGATAATTTAATTCTGATTCTCCCAGCACATGTCTTAGAGGAAGAGGTGTTTATTGTCCAGGAGGCCTGTAGAGGTCAGACAGTAGCTTATTTTAATCAAGGGACTATGAGACCCCCCTTACTGGCCAATTAGCCACATGAACTCTGTGTTTCATTCCCCCATTTCATCCACCTCACTGACAACTGTTCTACATCCTCTTGAGGAAAGCAAGCTGAATTTAATTTTGATGTAAATGAAAAGATACAGATCCCAAGTGTATCTTTTGTGTTTATCTTTTGTGTCTAAATACACGTAACATTAAATTTATCATCTAACTGTTTTTAAATTTACAGTTCTGTGGCATTAACTACATTGACATTGTTGTGCAACCATCATCACCACCCATCTCCAGAACTTTTTCATTTTGTAAAACTGAAACTTTGTACCCATTAAACACTAAATCCCCATTCCCCTTCCCCCAGCTCTGGTAACCACCACTCTACTTTCTGTCTCTATGAATTTGACTACTCTAGGTACCTCATATAAGTGGAATCATCCAGTATTTGTCTTTTTGTGACTGGCTTACTTTACTCAGGATAACGTCCTCAAGGTTCATCTATGTTTTGGCATATGTCATAATTTCCATCATTTTAAAGGCTGAATAATGTTTCGTTTCATAGATATACCATCTTTTGTTTATTCATTTATTTATTGATACACACTTAGACTGCTTCCACATTTTACCTTTTGTGAATAATGCTTCTATGAACATGGGTATACACATATCTTTTTAAGACTCTGTTTTCAGTTCTTTTGAGTATATACCTAGAAGTGGAGTTGCTAGGTAATATGGTAATTCTGTGTTTGAGTTTTTAGGGAACTACCATACTGATGTATTTATTTTTTAAAGATCTACATAAGATAGGCAGGTGACTTTCCAAATTCCTATGGTTAAAATTTAAAAAAAAAAAAAAAGGGTCATAATAAACTTGGGTTTAATGATAAAGCTGAAGTAACTCACTCGTGGGTCTGCAGTTTTGCCTTTTCTTTCTCATTTATCCACTTTCTTGAGAAGTTTTCCGAGCTTCTTTCTCTTTAAAGATCCAGTCAAATTACAGTCTATTATTAGTAGCACATAGTCAACATATTAATATAAAATAAGTAATAGAAGAAGAAAGCTTTACTAGATTTACTCTTTAAAGAAGATCCTAAGCAGCTAAGCTCATTGCTTCACTCTTTGTTCTCCTGGCATTTGTTTACTAAAAATTCTCTATAGCCTTTCATTTTTCCAGTCACTGATTCAACAATATGAAGCTCTTTGTCATCTGTGTAGGCACCGTCAGTCAGCATTCCCTGTGATGTTCTGCAGGTATCTGTGTCTGTGTCTTGTTGCTCTAACACCCAGAAATTAGATGAGTCTGAGGACTGGAGAGGCCATGGAGACTTAGAGAGCTTGTGGTGTCCTATCTAAAGAGTAGCCACTTGTTGCCCTGTGGGAATGCAGGCATAATTTTTCAAATCTTTCTAATTACCATGACAAGCAAGAGATATAGATTTTAATGCGAAATCTCTCGGCTTTTAAATGCTAGCCACTTATTCAGAAAAAAAAATTTTTTTTAGACACCGCCCAGACCAAATAAAATCACATTTGCAGTTCACATGGAGCCTATGAGTCATTAACTTTGACCTCTGCTCCAGCTGAAACTCTTTCCTGGATCACAAAGGCCTCATCTCATGAATATCTTGCTTTCCCCTGGGTGTTCATTAAGAGGGGAGAAATGAATCAAGAAATGGAAATAGAGGTGGATTTCCATGAAGCCAATAAAGCCGTAGCTCCTTGGCCCCCTACTTGCCTGGGTCCCTTCTCTGGGGCTATCTATTGCTGTAGTGTTTTCCAGAGTAAGAAAATTCAACCACAATTAACTAGGACTGCTCTCTCTTTCCATTCTGACTTCCCCTCAGTCACACTTTCCCTCATCTCAGGTGGCACTGAACTGGCCAAGAATGTTCTTGAGAAATGCAAAGGGGAAGTTGAGTTGAAGATACATTTAGCTTGAGTTGAGAGGAATTTCTTTTTGTGGTTAGCACACATAATGCCTTAGGGCCACAGTAAGTCTGCCCTGACTCTGACCAGTGACTGGCATAGGGTGACTGACCAAGTTGAACCCACCCCAGGGCCCAAGACCCAGGTTCTATACCATACTTAGGATACTGCCATTTCCTACCAAGACCTGGGGCCTGCTTGGGTCTTTCACCTGAATCTACCCTCTTGTGAATGATAAACTCCACTGCTGGGTGTATACTTGTAGGCCCAAGAATAGCCATGAGGAGTATGGGTGCAACACAGGCATGCATATATATGAGGCCCCCCAAGGTCCTGAATGGAGCCTGGGGTGGGTAAAAAAAGGGGAGGGCCTGAAATTCTTTGGGAATTCTAAATCCAAACTTGGCCTTCCCAGTCATTATGAAGGCATATTGTTGAAGGAAGGGAGACATATTTATTTAATAGTTTATTAGCATGATTTATAATAGTTAACTTACAAAACCTTTAAATATTAAATGTGGTATATAGACCTCAGTTTGTACTCAAGCCTGGGACCTCACATTATTAGGAATGTACCTGGGTTGCAGTTACTTTTGTCCATAGTTGTTTTGGTCACCACTGCTGTGTAACTTAGTGACATAACTTAGTAGTGCTATAAAACATAGTAACATAAAACCACCATCTTATTATGCTCACGGATTCAGAAGAGGAGAAATTCAGACAAGGCACACCTTGTCTCTGCTGCACAATGTCTGGGCCCTCAGCTGAGAAGACTCCATGATATGGTGACTCTATAGCTGGGGGCCAGAATCACATCTGGTGGCTGGTACTGGCTGTCAGCTGGGCTGTGGACTGTAAAACCTAAACGTGGTCCAGGGTTTCTCAAAGGATGGCAGTTATAGAGGAAATAGACTTCTTACCTAATGGATCAGGCCTCCAAAGGCAAGACTCTCAGAGAACAAGGCAGTAGTTGTTCTGCTTTTTCTGATCTAGTTTTCTGTTGGTTACAACCAAGATACAAATACACCGAGATTCAGCGGGAAGAGACATAGATCCCATCTGTCAATGGGAAGAGTGTCAAAAAATTTGGAGGCCATGGTTTGAAAATATCACACAGATATTGGCCACCCTGGTGTTGGAACAGCTTCTAGGAATATGATATATAAAGTCAATTCAAAGAATATTCCAAGGAAACTTGAAATTTCCTGAAATTTGATAGCTCATCCATGAAAAAAAAGTTAATAGATGCTTTCCTAAAAACTGCCTAAAAACTGTATTATCGGTCATAAATTTTTGAAGCTGAAGCCTTTCTAAAATATCAATAATAAAAAATTATTTTTGATCAACCATGTTATAGGAAAGACTGAATTATATCTTTCTATTCTCTTTGTAGAAAATATCATGAAATTTTTATCACATAAAGAGGCAATAGAGAATATGCTGCCACAAAAAAGCAGGCATTTTTGACTTACATAATCATATGAACATGTTTAAGAACATTCAGGATACAAAGTAGCAATTAATCGCAAAGAAGAAAAGACTAGCATAAGCAAGAGCAGCCTAGGAAAACTTCACGGAAGATGATGTAGAGATGGGATTTCAGCAGGTAGGAGAATGGAAGCTAAGGGCTAAGCTGAGTCAGCTGGTCAACCCATTTTGTCAGTTACACTTATCATCAGTTCTGATTGGCTCATTCTCGATGCCGATTGGTCAGTGCCTACCAGAGCAGTTGGTAAGTATTTTGCATATTATTTCTGTTGGTTAGAGGGAATAATATTAGCAAAGAAACAGAAAAGGAATAATCTTGGCTAATTTATCAAAAGGT